AATCAATTTTGATTAGAAAATTCTACTAGAATTCAATTATTTAAAATTTTAAATACAAAAATAAATAATTTATTGAAAAATTGAATGTTTCTTAAAATTCAATTCCCATAAAGAATCCCTAAGAAGAATTTTATTACTTTTGAAGAATATTTAATTTTTGCGAAGAATATTATTATTCTTAAAAATAATTGAATTTCTGCAATAATTTGTAACTTTTACAAAATTGAATTTTTTTTTTTGTGTTTTTAACTAAACATTTTCTATAAATCCATTATTCGTATTAATTTTTGAAAAAGTTCTTTAAGAATTTTCAAATTCATTTGTTTACAATTCAATTTTACAAAATTTCAATTATACGTAATTTCTTAAATTAAATAATATTTATTAGAAAATGAAAACTTTAAATAATTTTAAAAAAAAATTCAAGAAAAATTAAAGTTTCTCAAAAAAAATTAATTCCACAGTATTGTTAGTTAAAAATATAAAAAATTCAAATTTTCAAAGATTTTAATCTAAAACCTTTTATTTATGTATTTATTTATTTGAAAATTAATTAATTAACTAAAAATTCAATTGTTTCCAAAAATTCACGCTCTAATGCTTTTAATATTCAATTATAATCTAAAATTAAAACTAAAATCCATTTTTAAATCAATCTTTATGAGAAAATTCAACTAGAATTCAATTATTTAAATACAAAAATAAATAATTTATTGAATATTTGAATGTTTTTTAAAATTCAATTCCCATAAAGAATCGATATCAACAAATTTTCAAATACTTGAATTCTATTAACGAATTTTAATAAAATTTTTAAGAATAATTCCATTCTTCGAGGAATTAGATTAAAATTGTATTAAAAATAATTGAAATTCTGCAATGAGTATTATTATTTATGAAAGTAATTGAATTCCTAAAAAGAATTTTATTATTTACGAAAATAATTGAATTCCTGTACAAAATTTTATTATTTATGAAAATAATTGAATTATTGCGAAGAAATGCATAAAACTTTTTTTAAATAATTAAATTCCTGTTAAATTTTTAATATTTTATGAAAATAATTAAATTTTTGCGTAGAATTTTATCAAATTCTTTTTTAAATAATTGAATATTGTTTTAAAAAATTTTATTAAAATAGTAGATATTTTTGAAAATAATTGAAACTTTTGACAAAGATTTAATTAAATTTTTTGATAATAATTGAATTTCGGAGAAGAATTTATTTATTTCCAAAGATAATTGAAATTTTGATTCAAAAAAAAATATTTGAACATAATTGAATTTCTGCGAAGAATTTAAATAATAATTTATAAAAAATAATTGCATTCGTAGGAAGAATTTTATTAAAATAATTGAAATTTTTCCAAGAATTTTATTGAAATTTTTGAAAATAACTGACATTTTGAGAAGAATTTCGCTACCTATTTATGAAAATAACTTAATTCTTGACAAGAATTTTTCGCAAATTTTGAATGTAATTTAATTTCAGCAACGTATTTTACTACTTTTCAAAATAATTGAATTCTTCCAATAAATTTTGATATTTATCAAAATAATTGAATTTTGAAAAAGAATTTTATTAAAATTTCTTAAAATAATTGATTTCATGGGAAGAATTTTGTTGTTTACCAAGATAATTAAATTCTTTTTATTCAATAATTGAATGTTTCTTAGAATTCAATTCTTTCGTCGAGTTTTAAAAAAAATTTTAAGAATAATTGCATTTTTCAAGGAATTTATTTAAAATTATATTAAAAATATTTGAAATTCTGCGATGAAAATAATTTGAATTCCTAAAAGAAATTTTATTATTTATGAAAATAATTGAATGCTTTCGTAGAATTTTACACGGAGAAAAATTTTCAGTTGAAATTACTATTAAAAATAGAAGCTGAAACTATTTCACATAGTATTTTCGTGACACATCGAGTTAATCGTAATGTGTAGTATTTTATTGAGTATTTTGTACTAGGGTACCAAAGTATTTGATATTATTAATTATATTAGTTCCAACTATGTAAACATTTTTTGGAATTTGGTTACATAGTAAGGGTAACTTTTCCGCCTAGAAAGTATAACAATTTCAAATACTTGAACCTACTATGTGAGAAAGGCTAGCGCGCTATGCATCATGGTAATCTCCACTATTTTAAATGAATGACTGCGCGATGAACCACATGGTAAACTCCACTATTTTAATAGTGCACGACGCTAGTACTAAATGACTTTGAACATAATGTAAAATTGTCTTGAGATTATGTAACGTGGTAAATACCACTACATATAATAATTATAAATGTAATGCAGAAATATTTAGAAAGGTTACTCTCTAAATCTGAATAAGTGGAATTTCACTGAAAATCAGTTAAAAATAACTGAAATTTCAGTCATTTTCTACTGATTCGACAATTAAAAAACTACTGAAAATTTCTGTCACACATATTGAAAATTTCAGTTATTTTTTAATTGTCCAATCAGTGAAAAATGACTGAAATTTCAATCATTTTTAACTGATCTTCAATGAAATTTTACTGATTCAAATTGCGAGAATAGAGTCACTGATTCTTAGTCAAATTTTACTACTTCAGTTTTAGAGAGTATGTTTAATAGCTGTCAGAATGATGATTCATGGAAATTTTCACTATTTTAAATAAGGATTGTAATTTTGTGGAATAATTAAAATTGCTAGAAACAAAAGCTTTAATAAATTAAAAGTAAAAGTTTAAATTTAAATCATCAATAATAATTTTTATTAATCTAAAATAAATATATACATAGTAAAAGTTTAAAATAATGAATACACTTAATTATAATGGTTTTAATTCGTCATCTTAAAAATTAAATTCACTTTTTAGCAATGTATTCAATGTTTTCAAATGACTAACTGTACCATTTATAAACTTTTTCCAAACTAAACTGCTGCACCTTGGTAAGTTTTTTGCTTTTCGTTTGTTGATCCGTACTTCATCTGTATTGGTATGATCATGGTAGACAAAAGGTGTAAAACCACTGCATCTTGAGCGTCTGTAAAGTTAATTAAAGTCAGCATTTATTAAATAAAATATATATAAAATATTTTTTAAAAAATCAGAGGCGTAACCAGAAAAAATTAAGGGCTACGCTTCTATAAAAAAGTGATTTCAGTTAATTTTTGCTTACTTGGCGGTAGTTTATCCACGCCTAAAAGAAGAGTTTGATTTTCCAGAGTTTTTGGTACTCGACTTGTTCGCAATAATTGCAAGATTTGATTGCAAAACGGTCTCCAACTTGTTTCCAAAGCCAATGTTCTTCCGGGATAAAGTTGATAAAAATCAAGCATTAACTATAAATAGAGAAATAGGTACTATTAATATAATACATTCACTTCTCATCACTGGACACATTCAATTATCTTATACTACAGATATACTAATAGTTCCAAGTTACATGTTCAGAAAGCAGTGTCAATTTTTGTAACTTTAATTAATTAAATAGTACGATAATTTTTAAATATTTACCTTAAATTCGATAGCGCCTTTAGCATTTCAGGATATTTTTGGCGTCATGACGCAAACACTCAACACTATACTATGTTCATGTATTAATCAAAAAGTACTCAGACAAACATTTATTTCACTTTTTTAAGCATGTTTTATTAAATTTAAATAATAAAAATTGTAATTTAAAATAATTTTAAGAATAACGTCTTTAAGTTTGGAGTTTTCAGAGACGACTGAATGTATACAGTACACGTTGGTATACAGAAAGTCTATTTTTAAAACTAAAAACTATGCTGATGGCCCTTTCTATTACAAACAAAATGTACTGTGTTATGAACACATGTAATTTCACAGTGTAAAATGGTAATGTCCACCATGTAAAAAAAAGGAATTCCAGTTATTCATTGAATCAGTGCGTTGACTTGCTTTAGTAGGTCTGAGACCCTTGCGCTATGAGTGGACCGTACTATTTCACATAGTAAAAGATCTTTTACTATGTGAAATAGTAAGGTCCACTCGTAGCACAAAGATCTTTCAGCTATTATATTCAGACGTTAAGGGGCAATTTTTCTCATTGATTTTTTTACTATGTAAAATAGCATATACTCCTACAACACGTAGAACTTACTGCTATTATAAATGCACATTTTTAGTTATTTCTAATGGCATAAAATAATATGCATTAATGTTATAAAACACTTTTTAATGAAGAGTTTTTGTTATGTAAGATACTATTTTGACTTACTAGCATCATAACTGTCGTATTGTAAATAATAATTTATCCTTTTCTTAAATTGTATTTGATGTATTTAAAAAAATATTCCATACTTTGTATACTTTAGTAAAAGATACTTTAAAGCATTAACTGAAATAACTACACACTTTGCAAAACATCTAACGCGTCATAGTTCAAAAAACTATATGTAAAATAATTCAAGATACCATTTTTAAAAAATGGTAATTTCTACTATGTACAAATAGCACTATTAATCACGAAATAGTACTTAATATTAGAACTGGTAGTTTTTCTAATTATATATCTCATAACGATTCGATATTTTACTATGTGAAATAGCGTTTTTAACTTGGTTTTCAAAAACCATTTTTCTGAGTGTATTAAAACCCATTTTTCAATAATTGAATTTTGTGAACAATTTTATGGAAATAGTATAAATATTGAAAATCATTAAATTGCGAAAAACTTTTGAAAATAATTAAAATTTTACAAAGAATTTTATTTAAATTTTTGAAAATAATTGAATTTTTGGTGAAAAATTTTGTTATTTATAAAGAAAATTGAATTCTTGATGAGATATTCGTTAAAATTTTTGAAAATAATTGAATTCTTTTGATGAATATTGTTATGTATGAAAATAATTGAATTTTGCAAAGGAGTTTATTTAAATTTCTAAAAATAATTGAATTTCAGTGAAGAATTTTGTTATTTATGAAGATAATTACATTAAAACTACTTAAAAATACCAAGAAATCGTAAAATTCAAAAGATTTTTTACTCACATTCTCCAAGACGAAGCCAGACACTCGAAATTGTTGAAATTCCGCCCGAGACGAAAAAATCTACAGTCACGAAGAATCGAACAGCAAACACCAGCCCCATAGTCCCGTTTCGAGTCCAGCAATGTTGTCACTGAGCCACCTCACTTGGTACTGCTTGGTACAATTTCTGTAAATAGTTACAAAATTTTTATTGATAAATTCTCCAATTTTTAGTACCTACCAATAGAATATAATATTAAACCATAATTTTGATTCAAAGAAATTTGCTTATATATTAAAAATGAAACTTTATTTCTTTACTATTCTTTCATGAAAAAAATGTTTCTTTGATTCTATAATGCTTACAAAAAATTCTAATTCACAAAAAAATGTCTTTACAAAAAAGAAACATTTTCTTTTTTTCTTTCTCGGTGTAGTGACAATTTCCTCCTCCAGTCCTCAATCTCGGAATTTTTCACCAGAACCAAGAGAAAAAAACCTCGATAAAATTGTCATTCTAAAAGTAAGCAAGTAAGTGACAGTAAAACGTTTACGGAATTCATGAGAAAAAATAGTATTGTTACACAAAAGAAAATAATTTGAATTGCCATGCACGCGGGAATGATTTGTTTCTGGAAGACAAAAAAAATGACTTTTCGGGAAAAATTGTTGAAGAAGAAGCGCCACGTACGTCTCATACTTAATTGATGAAGATCAACCTGCCCACTATCGAATTCATTGTTCCACGTTGGGACGTTGGGACGTTGGGTAAATGACTCTTGGAGTCTTGCGTTAGAATGACAGCGGCAGTTAACGTGATTTTAACATAACAATGAACGTTCATCATAGCTATACATTTATTGTTCTCCGTTTCCCACACGCGGCATGAACGTGACGCGAATCCATCTCGCTAATGGGAGTGCGAGCACATAAAATATATATACGTCTATAATCTACATCTGTGCACAAAGCTGAATATATACTTTATGGCACTCGATGTTTCTTGAATAATTCCGAATAATTCTAAACAATCATGCTATTCATCTACAAAACTCTAACATCCAATTGTCCCTATTTGTCTCTACTCTTTATATACTCTTTATATATTCACCTTGAAAATATACAAGTCTATTCTATAGTTGTAGAAAAATATTTCATCACAAAAGCGTCAATTGATCATTAGTCGCCACACATGTGTATACTTATTTCAGGTATTACTTTTCTTATTTCATTATTTCATTTTCTTCGGATGAGAAAATAATATATAAATTCTAAAGCAATTATCAATGGTATTTTTTTTTCTCCTTTTTAATGGGACTTTGATGTTTTTATGGAAAAATTGTTTATGTGATTAGATGAAATACTCGTTTGGATGTTGGGAAAGAAAATCTCGAGAAAATGAAAAGTTTCTTATTAGACATGACAAAATCCTTTTGTTTTTGTTACTACGCTTCTCTTTTTTTATAGCAAATTAAAAGACATTTTGCTCTCTAAATCGATGATTTTTCCCCTTTTTCATCCCCTTAAATATTATCAAAATCTCCTAAAACACCTGAAATCATACATTTTCTCCCCTTATCACTTATTTTTAAGAAAAATTTATAATGTAAGTTAGAAAAATTTTTAGTTATATGATTGAAGAGAAAAATTTTTACTTTTCGCAAACTTTGGAAAAATTTTACTTTTTTGAAACTTGGAAATATTTTTATATTATTTCTCAGAGTTTTTAAACTTGGAAATTTTTTCATAAAAGGTAACAAATATAAAATAACTTTTACTTCTAAGAAAAATCCAGAGTTTGAAATTTTTGACAAATTTCATTATTTCCAGAATAAATTTTACTAAATTCAAAGTTAGATTTTACTAATCTTCATTTTTCAATAAAATTTACGACGGATATTATAAAATTTGCTCTGGAAATAACAATTTTTAATAGCAAAATTTTACTATTTTCAATGTTAATTCTTTTACATAAAGATTAATTCAAATTTTTTTTGAATATTACAAATTGAAAATTATTGTTGAGTAAATTTTAGCTTCTATTTTTAAAGTGAGTTTTTCTAATTTTTATTTTAAAAAAATTGTCTTTGAAAATAGTAAAAGTAATTTTGGAAATAACAATTTTTAATATTAAATTTTACTATTCTTAAAGGGAATTTTTCCAAGACCCAAGTTAATTAATTACTAATTAATTATTATTATTACATCTCATTTTTAAAAAATAATAATAAAATTCTTCAAAACAATTAAATTATTTGCAAAAATTTTAATGAAAATCTTCACACGAAATTCAATTATTTTCATAAAAATAATAAAAAAGCATTGCAGAAATTTTCAATTTTAATAAATTTTCGGAAAAGAAAATTCAATTTTTTAAAAATTTTATTAACTTCTTTGCAAAAATTAAATTATTTTGAATATAATTTTATTGAAATTTATCGTAGGAATTCAATTATTTTTATAAATAATAAAATTACTCTGAAGAATTTTCAATTATTATTCAAAATTTTTATACAAATAAGAATTCAATTATTGCCAATAAAACTATATTTGAATAAAATTATATTTGAATTAAAGTAAGTTTTTCTAATTTTTATGAAATAAAATTATCTTTAAAAATAGTAAAAAAATTTTAAAGGAAATTTTTCCAAGACCCAAGTTAATTTTAATAATTTTTTTTTCTGAAATTTACTTCTTATACATTGTGATTAATGGAATTTTAAAAACAAAAGTTATAATAAAGAATTGAATTCTTGCGAAGAACTTTACTAAATTTTTTTTAAATAATTGACTTTTTGGAAAATTTTTTAAAAAGTGCGCTTTTAATAATTAAATTTCTGTGAAAATTTTATGATTTATGAAATTAATATATTGATTTAAGGAATTTTATAAATTTGTTTTTAAAATAATTGAATTCTATGGGAAATATTTGAATTTCGAAAAGTTTTGAAAATAATTCAATCGTTTGAAAAAATGATTAAATAATTGAATTCCTTTGAAGAATTTTAATAAAATTTTTAAGAATAATTACATTTTTCTAGGAATTCATTTAAAATTGTATTAAAAATAATAGAAATCCTGCGATGAATTTCAATATTTATAAAAATAATTGAATAGGTGTTAGGAATTTTATTAAAATTTTCGAAAATAATTGAAATCCTGAGAAGAATTTTATTATTTATAAAATTAATTGAATTCACGTAAAGAACTTTCGAAAAATGTTATGAAAATTGTATTTTAAATAATTCAATTCCTGAGTGAGAAATTTTATTATTCATGAAAATAATTTAACGTTTGGAAAGAATTTTATAAAATTTTTTCTTAAAATAATTGAATTCCACAAGAAATTTTTTATTAAAGTAGATATTGAAAATAATTGAATTTCGAAAAGTTATAAAAATAATTAAATCGATTGAAAAATTTTTTTAATAATTGAATTTTTACAAAGAATTTCATTACAATTCTTAAAAAATAATTAAATTCTTTGAAGAAATTTCATTAAATAAATTATATCAAAATATCTTAAAGTAATTGAATTTCTTTGAAGAATTTTAATAAAATTTTTTAGAATAATTTCTACGATTTTTATTCAAATTTTTAAAAATAATTGAAATCCTGAGAAGGTGTAAAAAAATTTCTGTTATTTCACTGCAGAAATTAGAATTTCTTTTTTTTTCGCGTCAAAATTACTTTTTTTTTTTCTTTACAGATTTTTTTCTATACTAGACTTTTTTTTAATCGTTTCAATCTGGAAAAATAGTTGGTACTAAATTCCTAACCCTTTTAAGTGGTTAAATTAACGACGTAAAGAAACTTCAAGATAGCATTTTCGTAGAGCATTTACCGTTCACGTTGCCGATGTATATTTAACTAGCCAACGACAGTAACAGAAAGAGAAGACTAACTTTTTTGAAAGATTTATTACTCCAGATTCGTAATTTACTCTTTATTTTATTTACAAGGCCGAACTAACCTTATAATTGCGAATAATGCAAAAAAAAAATATTTTTGTTAAAAAAGATTTAATTTTTCTTAAATATATTCAAAAATAATAATTAAAAAGAGGGGGATTGGGGGAGATATTAGAAGTTTTGCAAAATAATTTCTACTTATTAAATTAAATAAACTCCAATCAAGCCAACAATTTCTGTATTTGAAGCAAATAATATTTAAATTATTTAAGAATTATTCAGAAAATCTATTTGGTACAAATAAATATTTACTTAAATCAAATAAAGTTTTATTTAAATCAATTAAACACTATTTGCTTCAAATACAGAAATTATTGGCTCGAACAAAGTTTATTATTTATTTGATGTAAATAAAAATTATTTGCTTCAAGTAAATATTTATTTGATAACACAAAAGTAATCGCATTTATTATTCAAATTAAATAAATAAAATAAATTTTTTTCTCAGAGTTTTCAATTTCCAAAGAGAATTTTTAGTTGAAAACTAATAATTACCCGATTCCTTATTCATTTTTCACAATAACTTTGCAATATTGTATTTTGTAGTTGGTCCTTCTTTTTCTTTATATAAAATAAAATAAAATAAAATAAAGTTATTATCTCTTAATTATAGGAAAATAATCATTTGACTCTAATAATCGAAGTATAATAAAGAATTGCGAGACTCTTCCTCGTCGCAAGCACAACTAATAATTACGGTCTCCTCTTCGAATTTAAGTTCACAAATTAGGGACCTTCAAGCACGGGTCGCACCTCCCCACAAACCATATAATAATATTTACGTTCATGTTTCACTCGTTACTGTATAATTTACAATTTTTCCATTACAAATATACATCGAGTGAAATTCTTTTATTCTTCTCTCAATGCATGTGTAATTTTCTTCTTTAAAGAAAAAAAAATCATCTCTCATTGCCAATTTAACAAAAAGAGAATTATACGTATTCTTGAATTTTAATGTTATATTGAACAAAAATTTCTATACAAAACAAATTGCGAAAAAAATCGGATTCTATTGAATTATTTTCAGGTATGATTAATTTTGCTGTATGATCATAATTTATCATCTATGATAGAAATATTATTATACTTAGATTTCGCACTCGATAATTAATTTTAAAAAAGTAACAAAAAGTAGCTTTCAAACTAAAAAAAGTTGTAATAAAGCAGCTATTGAAAAATTAAACTTGTCGAACAAAATAACTCGTTTTAGACA